TATTACAGAAGACCAAAAAGACTTAAGGTTTATAAGCAATGATATTGTATTTATTGGTATTAAGCTTTAATGTAATGATAAAACAGCAAAAACCACAGCTGAAACTTAATTCAACAATTTCATCGTTCATGATGGTATCCCGACCATTTTACACTCAGACCAAGGAGCAAATTTATTTCAGATATTATTCAAGAACTCTGTAATTTGCTAAACACAAAGACAAGTCATACCACCATATATCAGCTGCTGGGAAATTCCACGCCTGAGCGATATAGATCACTGCAATGTTAGGAACACTCAATGCATCTCACAAGCAAGACTGGAAGAAATATGTACCATCACTACTATATGCATACAATAGTACACCACATGAGTCTACAAACGTTGCACAATTTGAGCTCATGTTTGGTCGAAAACCTAAGCTTCCAATGGACTCTATGTTTGAACGAGTGACAGAAGAAGAAGGAACAACAAAAGATGTAAACGAATACAAAGAAGATTAAAAGAAAAGAATGACATCGACAGAAGAAATAGTAAAAGAATTCAATGACAAAGCTAGCGCTAAACAAAAAGAACAGTATGACATTATAGCTAAAGCAGCAAAGATCAACATTGGTGATACAGTCCTAGTTAAAATTCTAAGATATGAAGGGAAGCATAAAATAGCTTTCAATTTTGAAGAGAAGTTCACGAAGTCATTGGTCAACCAATACCAGATGTTCCTGTATTCAAGTTAAGATCATTAAAATCCAAAAAGAATAAGACTCTACACAAAAATCATCTACATCCTGTTAATTATAGGAAAATAACAGTTAATGCTGACAGAGAGTAATACATACAAGAGAAAGAAGATAATAATAGAGAGCAATACATACAAGAGAAAGGAGACAAAAATGAATTTATAAGGGGAGAAAAGAAAGAGAGAAAAGATAAAGCCGACGTCGGAAATGATTCGGAGAATGAAACAGAGGAAAAAGAACTTGTATTACATACAAATGGTAGTGGGGACGTCCATTTTCCTAGTGTAAAACGTGTCTCTCAAACAAGTGGAGCAAGTGAAAATAGTGAAGTAAGCTGAAATTGTGAAAAAGGTGAGAACAGTGAAGAAAGTGAAATAATAGACAAAGACGAAATTCACGAACATTCAACCGAAATTCAACCGGAGTCAGATATAAATGATGACTAATAGTCGTTATTAATGATGACATAGAAATGAATGGAGAAGGTATTGCTCATGAACTTGGACAGGAAGAAGACATCACTATCACAGATACAGAGAATACAAACATGGAAACAGGAACAAACACAGAAGAGACAGATATTATAACAGAAGAGACTGATGTAACAAACACAGAAGAGGCACATGTAACAAACACAGAAGAGACACATATAACACAGACGTGACGGATGTTATAATAGACGATACAGATTTAGTCACAGAACAGATAAATCTAAATAATGGTGCAGAATATACACCAGAGGTACATGCAGCACATAAACCAGCACCAAGAACCAAGAAGGTCTAGTAGAGAGAAGAAGCCTCCATCAAAATATGAGGACTACAGTAACTACATGAATGCTGTGGTACCAAGACCATATGATACTAAAATACTAGCTTTTTTTTTCTTCTTTTTTTCATATAAAAAACAAATATATAATTTAGTTCCTTGTTAACTGAATAATATATAACATATGATTATATGTAACATTGGTAAATATGGTTGTCACTGTATATTGGTCATAACGCCTGCAATACATTATATGTTTGTTACTGTTATATCATTTCATATGTTTTTATATACACAAATATAATGTACGGTATAGAGTAGGATGTCCTCGACCTGCATATACCTATTGACGAGGAAAATAAATTATGTAAAAAAAAAAATACCAGCTATGAATATTTTAAATCAAGTGGACACAGAATTTGCTCACAAACTACTAGAACCCATAATGAAAATTTAATTGTTTTGGTAAAAATTCCCATGTTTTAAATTTTTTAAGAAACTTTTTCTGACATTATGTTTTAAAAATGAAAACCATTTTTTATGTATATTTTTTCCAGTTTTAAAAAAGGGGGGGAGGGGGAATATAAATTTAAAATTAAACTTTGGAACAAAAATAACTATGATAAAAATTTTAAATATAAACAGATAAAAAATTAAAAATTATTGAATGACTTAAATTTTTGTTTGGGTGTAAAGATTTTTTAATGCTACATAATTTTTTATCCAAAAAAGTAAAAAAAAAAAAAGAAAATAAATTTGTCACAAAAATATCTGTTTAAATTTCAAAATATTCAATGCCTATGACAATAATGATCTAATGTATATGTAACTTTACATTTTTAAAATATGAAGGAAATTGTAATGTTACAATTAATGTGTAACACACTGACATAATTTTTGAGATAAAAGCTTTCTTGTATGTTTATTATTGTTTGTAAGTTTAAGAAGACCAGACTGAAGACATTTATGACCAATGACGGGACGTCATTTTTCAGACCAGGGAAGTATGTAACAGGGTCTTATTTCTAAGATTATGTCTAAGTGACAAAACTCTTGCTTGCTGTTGAATTTCATAATATTGCAAAGGGAGATAAGTCCGCCGGTCTTATCTGATACTTTTCAAGGGAGATTACTCTATTGGTTTTAACTGATTTTATCTTATGTTTACATTGATTGGATTTGTGGTCAGTATTCTAAGAAATCAAATGATTGGTTCACGGATCGTTGATTTAAAGCTATTTTTATGTCATGTGATTTCTTGGTCGGAAAAGTCATTGTGTCTTTGATGTTGTAAAGAAGAGATGTTAGAAAATTAGTGTTTTGTGGTCAAGTTCTTTATTTCTTAAGTTGGTATGTATATATCGTCGCTTGAAAAATGTTTTGTTCTAAGTGCCAATTTGTTGTTTTTGAGAAAAAAAGCATGTAAAGATTTTGTATTGCATAACTTTTTTATTTATTGTCGGATTTTGAAAATTTAAAAACTATTAAACGTGATGTCGAGAGAACATCTCAACACCGTTAAAGATATGTGGATTTTAATATTTCCTAACTTAAAAACCTTAAAAAACATTTGGAGATAGAACAGTCCTTGTAACTTTTTTTTCAAAAATTGTTAAAATTAGAGTGTTCAATGTGACATAGAACATTATGTCTTTAAAGTTGAATTGATTTATATCATATAAAACAGTATCTTTTATCTTTAAAAGGCTGCCAAAAATGCTCTCGGCTAATTATACCTTGATTAGTTGACTTTGACACTACACTATTTCTTAGACCATATGTATCTAACTTCATGAACTATGACATTCGAAATCTTATTAAAATCCTTAAATCCATTACATTATTAAATGACATTCAAACAAATAATTTAAATAGATAAAGATAGAATACCCACATAAATTGTGTAGACATTTTATCTATTTTTATAACTTTGGCCATATTCAAAGTGATTCAATGTCTGGAAAAAGCAAGTTATAGCCGCAAACGGGAATAGAAAACTTTTAAATCTTCTAGAATGCTGGAAAAATCTTTCAAGATTTTTTAATGAAATTTCAAAAGATGGTCAAATTCAAATTCCTTCCAAAAGTATGAAATAGTAATAATTATTTTGTTATGCACGTTCTGTTTGTGTTGGTAAGAAGTTCTTCTAATTGAAGGTATGTAAAATTGTTTCTATAACTTAAATAGGCAATGAAGAAAAGACCTTAAAGGTGGAGCAGGCATGACTTATATTTGAAAAATGTCATATTTAAAGATTGTTCTCGTGTACAAAAACATTACAAACATAATGTTATATAAATATTCATTTAGAAATTCAAAGTCAAATTACAAGACAAACAAAATATACGTATAAGCATATTTTTCTTCCTTCTGTCTTTGGTATAAAATGTGTTTACTTTAAAGCAAATTATTAGATATACAACATTAACGCATTCGAAAACATATATTATATGTAAATATATATTATATGTAAACGTATAAATTTTCTAAAAGGCCTTTTTTTGCCCCAGAAATGCTTTTATCTTAATCTCTCAAAAGCCTGAGTTCTATAATAGTGTCCAAGATATTCGTCATTGGTCAGTAACCTAAATCATCTTATGCTTTTGTTTCATATTGGCAATGAGTACAGTCAATTTTTTAAACTCATATGTGGCTGTTATAAAGATAAATTATTTGTTTCTGAGACAGAATACGCCTTTAGTTAAAGAAACTTTTAGAACATATAACACATTTTCTTGTTTACGAATTTGTTTGATGAAATTGTATGATCACAGTTGTTTCTATCCGAAAATACACATCCGAAATTACTTTCAAATCATGATCAGTTTTGCTTGTTGTTTAATCACATGCAGTAAATTTACATGACTGAATACTAAAATGTCAATGATTGAAGGGAATAAATGAATACACAATATCATTCAATACTTATATTTAGTATAAATATATGAAATAAACAAAAAACCCTCTAACTCAAAATGTTTCGTACAACATGGCGGGTGTCCTGCTATCACGTGATTTTATGCTATGTTTTGATACGATAATTTTGGATTTAGAACAGTATGTTGCATATATCCCATAGGTCACGTGACATTTATCGATGATTTGATTAGTCCAGTAAGTTAGAACAGTCTATTTATCAAGACATACTAAATTTGTGGAGATAGAACAGGGTGGTTTCGTTGTAATTTATTTATAAAGCTCTGAAGCACTTATATAACATGCCAAGGAGATAGAACAGTCCATTACGGACAAAATTGTGTATTGAACTTGTTTTTGGAAAAATTGGAGATAGAACATTACAGTTTTCAAGCGACGATATCCTGACTGCTGCTAAATGCTTTATTGTAAATATGAAGAATTGCTTTATTGTGATTCTTTTCTATTTTGGTTCAGTCCATTGATTGTGAAATTTGTAAATAAGTATGAGTTTCAGAATGATATGTATCTATCAAGTCACCTTTCATCTTTTATTCACTATTAATATTAAACTTGCAGTTAACAGTCACTGGTGTGATAGAGAGAAAGTATCAGTTTTAAGATTGATGTACTACACTCATCCCTCAGAAGGTAAGTTACATGTGATGCATTGTGTATGAAAAATTTACCAGTTGAAGAAGTTTATCAAATAGATGGAGGTCCATAAGTGATGAATATATAGAAAGAATTATTAGGTATTGACGCCAGGCTTTATCTTTAACTTGGTTTTTCTAGTTGTTGAGGCTAGGAATTTTTATATGTATTCATTTAAACTAGGTTGTCAGTTAAAAGTTCATCATAAAGATCTTCAGGACTTTAAATAAATTAATATTTGTGGTTTCATGGGAAATTAAAATGCTATATATGCCAAAATCAAAGCCATGATGCTTGAAAACTTTTCAACACCAATCTAAATATTTATTTGAAAATAAATCAAATGTACTTGTAGGTGATGAGTCATATTTCACTTTAATTCCATAGACAATGTAAATATCTAAAAAGAAAATAGTTGAGTACAAATCCTGAGTACAAGGATTCATCAGTCAGAGAGATTATGCTTGCCTGTGGCTAAATGATTTAAAATTTAAATATAAACTGAACCATGCATGGGATTTCAAATCAGAAAGATGAATGAATAAATTTATTTATATATATTTATTTTTTTTAATAAAATCTGATTTTTGTTAGTTAAATATATTTCATTTGTAACAGTCACAACTTCCTGGTAAAAATATTTCGGTATATGATAATAGAGTAAAACACAATTTTTGCACCTATGTCATTATTTTATGAGAATAGATAAAGATAAAGTGTAATATTGAAATAGCATGAACTGGAACTTTGATATACAGTAGTTGCCTTGTTTGCCTATTTTCAGCGGCAACCCTGGTCCTAGCAGTCGTGAATATATGGGACTTTGGTCTAATCTGTAAAAAGATTGTTGACAAATTTTATCATGGTGAAGACGGGATCTTAGTATCGCATAATCCTTGGATCGCAAGATCAAGATGTTACAACACAACGGCAAATCACCTCCCTAAGATTTCCATTTACTTAATTTACATTCATTCATTGATAACTTTTCTTAAAGGTTTCAAATACATAGTATTTGTATTTAATTGGTATGATCATGTCATGGTTCATAACTGTTCACTGTTTAGGGGAGACACTGTATAAGTGGCCGGATAGCTCAAACGGGTTAGCCACTGTATGGTACTTTGAGGGTCCCGGGTTCAAATCCCGGATAGGCTGCACATTTTTCTCACCGTGTTACAAAATTACCAACTGGTAGAACATAAGAGTTTTGTGATAATTCTCAATATAATATATTTAATCATACTTAACTTTTTATATGCATTAAACATTTTAATCTTGTTGCATATAATTATACAAACTGATAGACTTGTATAAGAGATATTGGTGGAGTTGCAATAAAAACACCATATATTCCTGTATATAGATAGGAAACAACTATTGAATTATAGAAATTAAATGTTTACAAAATTTGAATGTGAATCCAGGATTTTACACCATAAGAGTTTGTAAAATTTCAACAAGGGGTATAAGACATATTTCAGTGTGTACATGTATTTGGTACCGTATGCCTAGTGGTTAAAGCGTCTGCCTTCGGATAGTTAGGTTGAAGGTTCGAGCCCACGGGAAGCGTTAATTGAAGTATGAATGTCTCTCGTGGGACTCGTTCCGAAATGGCCGCTCGTGAGCCTCGATGTAGTTTAAATGAATGGTTACCGATTTCTATACGCCTAGCGCCTGGCAAAGTGGTAGGAGTTGGGAGGTACATGGTAGGCACGCAAAAGGTGTATCATAAGTCAGAAATGGCTTGGCCTTTTAGTAGGGATGACACTGTAATAAACAAGACCTTTCCCTTTTACCTAATATTTGGTATTTAACTTGTTTTCAAAAAAAACAAGTCCTTGATTTAATATTATATTAATGTTTCACGGTTCAGGGGAAAAGATGTGTAAGCCCCTGGATAGCTCAGCTGGTTAGAGCTGTGGTACGGTATTCCGAGGGTCCTATGTTCGAGTCCCGGTCAGGCTGCACATTCTTCTCACCCTGTGACATTTGGCGCCCAACTTGGGGCTGTGACTGAAAATAGCTCAGAGTTAAATTTACATTGCTTTGTAACCTGATAAATTTGAGGATGAATTTCAATATAGCACTGTAAATATCTCACGCTTAAGAACTTTACTTTTTCAATGTATAAGAGGCCGGATAGCTCTGTCGGTAGAGCCAAGGTAGGGTATTCCGAGGGTCCTAGGTTAGAGTCTCAATCAGATTGCACAATATTTTTTTGTTTTGTTTTGTTGCTTTCTTTACTTTAATTTCATTTTTTGCCGTTATATCATGTACACCCACCCCCATGACTGCGACAAAACAAAATAATGAAAGAAATAGAGGGTGGCGTCGGTGTGACACATCGGTGACAGTATGATTAAATGCCAAATTTAAGGCGATTGTACGCTAAATATAGGGCAACAAAATGATTTTTTATTGTCGCATGGAAAAGATTGTCTCCCTTCCATTCACAAAATACTGACAAAAGGTAAATAAAGTGTGTGACAAAATGAAAAATATTTGTTTCTCATTCTGTCACTCTTTCATGTTTTTGCTACTTGTAACAATCACAACCAAACAAAATAACGAAATGGCACAAATCAGACACCATAGTTTTGTTATCATCAATTGGCAAAATAGCAGCTTGACTTTTCTTCACTTAAATGCAGTAAAGCTGTTGAGTTCTATTGTTAATTTGAATTGTCTAAATGATTTGGTGAGTGGAAAAAAACGTTTTGTAACATTTTGATTCCCTAGTTAATGTAATCTAATGACGCAAACGTACTTAACCAGTTAAAAGAAAGTACATAATCACATTTTAACAGGATTATAAACGGCCGAAGGATACCAGCCGCTTTAAATCGTGTTATTTATATTATGGCGAATGTTGATTACAATCAATCATTGAATTGTGAATAATAGAACATGGGACAAGTAATTAAACCTTTATTCTTAATGCATATGGTTATGAATGACAAGTTTACAGTTGTAGTACCCTTTCGGGCAAAATTTTCCGATAATTTGACCTAGTATTCAGAGAAATTGGCCATTTTCAACTAAAGTTTAAGATTAATTCTAGCCCTCTTTGAAATAAAACAATCGACAAGAAACAACGTTTAACAAGTTTAACAAGTGACAAGTTTGAAAAGCATTTATTTTTATGAATGTAATACTTTTAGAACCTTGCATGTTTTTAGTCAATTTTACGCATATATTCTGAAGAAAATATATACTGTCAGATTTAACATTTATAATACATGCACCCGACATAATTGTTATAATGCTGAAGATTTATACCAATTTTCAAAGGCATTTTTGTTTGGTAAAAAAAATTTGGCAGGCAAGTTTTTAAAAAACTTGTAAATAAATAGTGGTAAATATTACGCCCTTGTGATTATTACACGACACCGGTCATAATTTAGCATTATTCGTTTCGTGTGCATTGATCTAATTTTTGTTAGAGTGTCTTAAACACATGCCTAATAATTTTAAACATCAAAAGCGCATTTGTTAGTGCAAGCAATTGAAAAAATGTTGTATTTAACAAAGATTGCTTTTACACTCGTTAAATCTATTTAAAACGCTTACAAAACAAACTGTAGAATTTCATTTAACATCATTTTTATCTGTAGCGATTATCACACTTGATAACATAGGGTTGAAAATGCACACCATTCTAGATACTATTATATGTTTTTTATTTGTAAAGAGCATACAGTTAAATTTACAATACTTGTTCTATCTTTAAATCAGGAAGAAGAAACAGTATCATCAATCATTTTGAATCCGCCCATGTAAATACCAGTTCGTACCGCATCCCTTCTTTTGTCATAGTAAACATTCAAGTCAGTTTGGAAACCCTATTGAAATGCCTTATTTAAGCAACGATACAACCATTTTTCTTTTTGTTTTAGTATTTTTTTTTTTTGTTTTGTTCACTCCTGTCTTAAGCAAGCGTTTGTACAATGAATAACTTTGCTGTCATTAGCAAGCATTTAAAGTGCACAATCTAACATTCTTGTTAACAGTAGTTTTCACAGGACTTTTCAGTTTTGGTGATCGCTTAATATAACATAACATAACATAACATAATATTTATTCAGCATTAAATGTTACAACATTTATAGCCATTTCAATATATAATACAAACATATAAAGGCAAGTACATGGTTAACAGAGAATTATATACAAATGATTTAATACCAAATTAATCTTAAATTATTATTTTTTAACAGAGTGAACATAATTAATTGTAAAGTATTTCCTTAACAATAATTTTTCATCATATTATTACCATTTTATCTGTTTGTGTTATTTCTATAGATAAAACATATTTAAAAAGAATATATTTTCTTGTTACGATCAACATTATGTTGTATTGAATACATTTTTGTAAAACAATTCAATATTATGGAGATCCATTTCATTGTGTTTACATTAAAACTTAAAATACTTACAAAAAGATAAAAAGAAAAACAAAGACAGTGAAACATCAAGGTTATGATAATATGAAATTCGTTTTGGAATAAAGTAGAATTATTGAATATGGGAAGAAGCTTTGTATATAAATTTGCTGACATTCCAAAAAAAATACTTTTTAACGAGTCTAAATTCATAAAGTAAGATAAAATTTTTGCTTAGTAAGGCCAATGGCAAAAATACAGGATTGAAGTAGGTTTTTTCTTAAGTAGTAATTTTTTTGGGCTACTAGAAGAAAGTGGTACTCGTTTTTTCTAATTGGGCAATTCATATTACAATTTGAACATATTTCTTCAATTCTGGAATATTTTAAATGTCCTACCTTTTTTTCAATCATTAAATCATGAGGATTGAAGTCGGAATCTTGTTCAGTGCTAATTTTAAATTTTACTATTAGGTATTACATCTAAATACGTTTCTACTTTTAATTTTTCTTATACAAGCTATATGAACTGTAAATCGATTTGAAGGATCTTAATTTCGCATCCCATGATTGTTTTTATTTATCAAGTAATTCTTTGTTTTATAAGTTTGTAAAGATACGAAATGTCAAACATTTTGGGGATAGCCAAATGTTTGACATACCTATTTTATCGAAAATTTGTTGAACATGTCCGACCCAATTAAGATTCATTATATTATGACCATCATTAAAATCATCTTTAAGCATATTGTATGTCATTTTAAGTAATTTATTATCAATCTGATTTTACTATTCGTATCCAAAATCTAAATTAAATTTATTTTACGCTGTATCATCATAGGATACCTCCTAGTTCACCATATAATGCAACAAGATTTGTACTTTTACGAACGTGTAATATTTTTCGCATGAATTTATTATGAATCACTTCTATATCATTTGCACTATGGTATCCAAATATTTCTGAGCCATAATTCAAAATTGATCCTACAAGACTAATCGAATAAGTTACATTTTTTCTTTTGTTTTGAGATTTAATTGGTTATAAATAATAAAATAAATTATGAAGTGCATATAGAGAGTGTTTTGCTATGTGCTTTTTTGTGTTCTATTCCAGTTGCCGTTTTTAAATAGGGTTATTCCTAAGTATTTGAACGAATCCACGATTTCTAACACTACGTTATTAAAAATGAAAGAATGCGTTGTTTTTCGTCCTTTTTCGAAAATACTACTTTTTGTTTTAGATGTATTTACTCTTAAATCCCACAGACCGCAGTATAATTGTAAGTCATTAAGTATTGACTGTAATGCATGTGGTGTTTCTGCAAAAAAATGACAGCATCATCGGCAAAAAGCAATAAATATAATTTGACGTCATCTATAGAACAGATCCCGTCTATGTTACTATTTATATTCAAAAGAATGTCATTAACGAAAAATAAGAACATCAGACTGGAACTGGGATCTCCTTGTTTAACTCCAATGTTTGACGTGAAAAAGTTGAGTTTTCTGATTTATATCTTACGCATGCTTTCACTGTATTATACATAGCTCTTTATAGAAATTAACAAATCTGAGCTTACATTTTCTGTTATTAGTTTATGAAATAAATGAGATCTCGTAATTTTATCGAAGCATTTTTCGAAATCTATAAAACAACAATATAATTTTTTCTTTAACGATAAAGTTTAGCTATAATTGAATGTAAAATATAGACGCAATCAATTGTTGATTTACCTGCCTGAAAGCCAAATTGATTTTCAATGATTGTTTCGCTTTGTTTGGGGTCCCAGTTCGTCCAGCGGTTTAACAGAATTTGAGAGTAGATCTTTGATAATAATATTAATTAGAGTTATTCCTCTATAATTTTGTGGGTTTTCTATGTCCCCTCCTTTGTATATAGGTATTATTATTCCTTCGCCAAACGATTCAGGATATTGTCCGGTAGTAAATATATGGTTGAATAGATGGAGCATAAAAGGTGCAATTTGAGTAAAACGTATGTTTAAAAATCTCCGCTGCGCAGAGT